TATTCATGAGAGTTCTCCCTCCACCTTACTCAGTCCTCCCGAGGTGTGGTGGGGTCTTGGCAGTTTCTATGGCTGTTCTTTCCCTCTTTATTACAAGACTGTGTTTGTGTTTCAAACTTATCCATCACTTCTGCTGGGGACTCTAAACAAAACAATATTCACATTGCTGGGGCTATAGAAAATGAGGCGAAATCTTATTTAATGCAAACAAATGGCTGCGTATTGTGTGCATTACTTCTAGGTTGAAAATATCTTGCTACATGATCGTGGCCATTATGTCCTGTGTGACTTCGGCAGCGCCACCAACAAATTCCAGAACCCCCAGATGGAGGGAGTGAATGCAGTCGAAGAGGAGATCAAGAAGTGCGTGCCTCTGTCTCTCTTTTTACCCATTGCTGCTAATGTCGGTACATGAGCCCTCCGGTCTCTGTCGTCTTTCACTTACAGCCAAGATGCCCCCTCTGATTGGTCCATGAGGCCAACCTCCGTTGCCACCTGCTAAAGTTTCTAACAAACCCTGTTTTGCTTGTTCTCCTGCTGCCCCTCACACTTCTCAACCTCCACACAGCTACCTTGTTCTCCCTCGGAGCCCCCGGAAAACTCTCCTTTGTCACCAGGCAGAAAACCATGACAACGATTAGGTGCTGGTGTGTGGGGGCTGCTGTCTATCGTGCATTGTCGCATTGTTTCCCCCAACAGTTTCTGTATCCATCTGTTGTCTCTGGTCTTAAACTAGACTAAGCTATTTGGGGTAGGGCCTCTCTCTTTGCTCTGTGCTCATGCAGCAGCAAGCACAACATGACCCTGATGTTGGCCCTGCTGTGGTTGATGCTAAACCAAGGGATGGTGCCCTGGCGATTGACTCTAAGCGCCGCGCATTGGAGGGCAGGGAGTGAGGGACTTAGCGCTTTCCCCTTTCCCAGACCGACTGGGGGAAGTACGCGCCGCAAGCTCCTTGCAGGGCAGGGCAGGGTGGTAGGAGACTTCATGCACTCCCCTCGCCCCAAGCCCTGCTCAGCTGGCAAGTGACTCTAAACGCAGCACACTCTTGCAGGGCAGGGGCAGACTTTGCGTGCTCTCCCCGCCCCCAGACCCTGATTGACCTGCGGGTGGGATGGGGGGGGGGGGACATGCAGAGTTGTCTCCTACCACCAGGAGCATGGGCGCCTAGAGGGAACCCCAGCTGTTCAGAACAGCTGGTGATTCTCTGGGGGGTGGAGGGGCATGAGCAAAGACTTCACGTGCTCTCCCACTCAGACCAATCAGGGTGTGTGAGTGGGGAAGCATAGAAGTGTCCTGGTCCCATCACTTCTGCCTGAGGCCCTGCCCCTTTTGGGGGGCCACTTCAAAAATTTCTGAAGTGGCCCCCGGTTAAAAATGATTGCCCACCCCTGTGCTAAACTGTGCCTAGATTTAGCATGATGGCTTGGATGCTCTGGGGGACAGGGAAACAAATTCTCCCAGGAAGCCAGGAAATTGCTTTGAGAGGAGCAGAACCCTTGTAGGACAGACACTGGCCACTCAGCAGTCTGTATTGTGGAAGCTGTTCTGCACTGCTGGGCAATGAATGTGACCAATCCCTGACCTAAATCGTTCAGCAGTGCCTCTCGTGGCTGCCTTTAAAAGTGCAGCACTGGGCACTGAAAAGACTCCCGAGTGCTTATCTGCTGTTTGAAATGGATGGCTGCAAAGTGGGGTCCCGAGGAAGCTTTTAAACGGGGAGAAAAGTTGGGTGATCCTGCAGCAGAGTCAGGGTTGAGTTGGGGGATGTGTGGGAGGAGAAAAGGAAGAGAACGGGAAACCTGAGGGCTCATATGGCTTTAAATGTGTCAAACTCTTTGATTACGCTAACCCTGCCTGACTATAAGATCACACATTCGGAGTTGTATGTGAATGACTAAGCCCTATGAAAAGGTGCATCCTTCCTGCATCTTGTATATACAGCTGTGTGACTTAGGGTTTGTAGTGCTCCTAGTCTGGCTGTACACTTCTTGCTAAGCTTGGAAAAGAAGCTAGCCCTTCCATGATCCCGGGAAATAGCACGCAAGACCCCTGCATCCTTAAATCAAAATATCCACCCTGATATGAAACCTCGTTATTAGGGAGCTTTGAGATGGTGTCTGCCTCTTGCTAGTGCTTAGTTAAAAATGCAGTTTGTCAATTACCATTTGTTTTGCAAAAGTAACTTTCCTCCGGTGTGCAACACCTCTGAGCAGGACTCTCATCATGGAAGCCTGTTTATTAGAAGCTACGCGTTCCTTACTGTGACTGGCGTTTGTCCAAAGTCTCATGAGTGTGGCGTGTCTCTTGCACGGTCCTCAAACAATTTACGTGGAATAACAAATTACCCTTCTGAATTTTTGAATGTTACTAACTCCAGTTTTTAAGAGGATTGGATTTTTTGTGAGCAAACTCTGAGCTGTTCAAAGGATCTTGCAATAGCTCTTGTTTTCCTGGAAAGTTTTAGGGAGTTTAATTTGTTTCCTTTATAACCAGCTTTACTCCAAAGGGTTTGATATTTTACCAGAGAAAGGGCATTAGGAATAATTTTGCTGGTTTAAAAATTCAGCAGAACTGTTACAACAAGGGGAAGTTGGAATTGTTGGGGAGCAAGGAAGGAATTCAGTGTCCTTTAAAAGGACTGGATTTCCTTCTCCAACTCCCGATCCTGTGAGTTCAATGAACTAACAAACTTTTCTGTTGTAGGTACACCACACTTTCCTATAGAGCTCCAGAAATGGTCAATCTGTATAGTGGCAAACTTATTACTACAAAAGCAGATATATGGGTATGTATGAAACCCACTCAAGACTCACATCCCTGACCTCGACACCTAACTAAAATACTTTGATTACCTTGAAGCTTTTGTGTGCGCGCGTGCGTGCAGTGCAGTGCAGTGCAGCGCAGCGCAGCGCAAACAACTAGAAACTTTCCACTGGTGTGGGAATACCAGCGCAGTATGCTCCGGACTGTACCAATAATGGGAGCAGGGGAGAGGACATGGACAGCATTTGCATAACTGGGCATTCAGGTGATCAAGAAGGCAGGAGCCATTCTGCAGCTGGAAACCTCTTTGTGCCTGGGGATGTGTTCTCCTCGCAGTCCTGGCTGGCTGGCGCTGCTCTGCCCTGCTCATTCGTCCTGGCGACAGCGGAGCGGCAGCAGGGCCAGTGGTACAGGCCAGAGCAGAGACCCCAGCCAGGACTACAGGCCTGCCTGCACCTTGGGTCTGCAGGGCTCCAGGTCGGGCTCTGCTGTCCCAGCCCCGCTCGCTCACTCCTGGGGCTGCAGAGGGTTCCCTGAGCTGCCATTGGAGCCTTCAGCAGCAGGATGGGTCCTCGTCCACTGTGCAGTCCGGCCTGGGGTCTGCGCGAGGGGTCACTCCTCCCCATTACCTGAGGGGAAGCCTTTTAGAGTGGCCAACAAGCCCTCACTGGCTGCAGGTGTCTGATCAGCCTGCTGCTGCAGGCCGGCTCGCACGGAGTCTCAGGTACCCGCAGCCAATTCAGGGAACAGGAAACCACTTGCCCATCACTCAGTGCACCTGCCCTCCACCAAACTCCTGCTTCACCGCGGCCTCAGGAAATGGAGCGAGCCGGCCCCTGAGCTCGGGGGAGGGGGGTAGAGCAGACTGGGGCCTGGTCGCTCCAATTCCCACTGCTGTGGAGAGAGCCAGGGGCCTGGACTCCTGCTGCCAGCGCCAGGCATCCTCTAACTCCCAGGTCGCATCGCTTGGGGGAGGCGGCTGAGGGAGAGGGCGGAGTTTGGGGGAAGGAGTTAAGAGGGGGCACAGCAGGGGTGGGAAGAGGCAGGGCAGGGGCAGGACCTGAGGCGAGGGGGAGTTGCCCTGGGCCCCACACCTCCCTAGGGACGGCCCTGCCTGTGACAGAAGAGGGAATTGAACTTGGTTTTCCAGAGTCCTAGATTAGTGCTCTATTCATTGCCCCCCCCCCTCCCTTCCTTTGCTGCTGTGGCTGGGCGGCTACTGCTGTCTAAACACGTCCTACTGTTCTCTCCTTTCTCTAGGCACTTGGTTGTTTACTGTACAAATTGTGTTACTTCACATTACCATTTGGGGAGAGTCAAGTGGCAATTTGTGATGGAAACTTCACCATTCCGGACAACTCTCGCTACTCCCAAGACATGCATTGTCTCATACGTGAGTATAATCGTTTCCGTAGCACTGCATAGTTCCATGTTAGAAATAAAGCCCTCTCCTCTTTTGTCATTCCCAGTTGTTTGAGCTGAGAACCTGGAGAGTGTCCTCTCTTTTTGGAAGAAAAAGATCTATTCACATGCACAGATGAGCCAAATGAGTGTACAGGACTTTGACCATTTCTATGTAGATGATCATAGTCCAGCCATGTGGAAAACTAGGCAAATAGACAATCGTTTGGTTTAAGATCACTACAGAAACTCCATTACTGTCTGTTTGCATAAGGAGTTGAAAAGCGTCACAGTGGCTTAGACTAGTGATACGACTTCATCTTCTGCGAACTGAGAAACAGAACTAAAATGTTTATAAATAACCCACTGACTAAAGTGAATGCATAATTAAGGGTACAATGCCTTACTCTCTGCAAAGCAGGAATATCTTGCCTGCTTTCAGTACAGCATTTGATTGTGCCAGCCATGAGTGAGTATTGCAAATTCAGATGTGTTTTCAAAATAGCCTGCTTAGTTCTCCACAGCTCTACGTGCCCTGGGTTTGAGCAGATAGTAAAACTTAGTTAGTGCTTGAAGTCCAGGTCCCATGCATGGGAAAGTCAGTGCAGATGTCCTTCCCCTACTCTCTATTGGGTAGAGCATTAGGAACGTCTAAACCTTTCTGGTATTGTAGGGACTAAGAGCCTCAGCTGAGATCAGGGCTCCATTGTGCCAGGCGCTGTACATACACATAGCCACAGCTGGTCCTTGCTCCAAACCACTTTCTATCTAAATAGACAAAGCAAAGGATGGGAGAAAGTATTGGTGTCCCTTACTTACAGTTGCAGAACTAAACTAGTGTTATAGGGGAAATAACTTGGCCTAAGTGTACACACAAATTCTGCCAACTCTCACTTTAAATGGTGATTTGTGGATGGATGTGCTTGTCTTGGCTTGCTTAGGAAAGTAAACCAACTTCATATTTTAGTTAACGAACTGCTATTGCCCCTGCTGCCATTGATGTCGTGAATAACTTTGTGATTGACTTCAGTGGGAGGTACAACGGGCTTCCATCCTTGCAGTTAAAAACTTCTTGTATACCCTGGGAAATGACCATGTACTCTGTAAAATCCCAGTGGGTCCAGTGCAAGATCTGGTCCTTTGGTCTGTATGGGTAACATACGTATAACGGCAGCAAACCAAGTACAGTCTCCTGATGTGTGTTAGAAAGTCACTGCCTTGCAATCCACACTTGAGCTGGAAGATGTGGCTTCTGCACCATGTGCAAATCTGGTATAAGGCCTTGTCAACACTAACCCCGCCATCTCATCTACATGACTTCAGCTGTGCAAATAGTGTCGCTGAAGTTGATTTTCTTACATGTATGCGGTAAGGTCAGGAGGCTGCTACTCTTCTCGTCTTGGCGGAGTATTGGATTTGACAGGAGAGTGCTCTGAGATCAATCTCTTGCATCTAAGCAGACATGATAAATTGACGGCTGACGGATTGATCGCAACAGCTTTGATCCACTGCATAGTGGAGACAAGCCTTAAATGAGCTCCATGATTATCCATTAATCTTCTAATATTTAGCACCCAAGTCTTCTGATCCTTTTTTTTTTTTTTTTTAAATAAAGGGTATATGCTTGAACCAGATCCTGATAAGAGACCTGATATTTACCAAGTTTCCTACTTTGCATTCAAGTTGACCAAGAGGGAGTGCCCTGTCCCGAATGTACAGGTAAGTAGCCTGTAGATCCCTTCAGAGGAAGTGGGACCAGACTGCATCTGACGTTCCTTTGCACTATTATTCCCTATCTACATTTAACTTCAGCTGCTGGAGAAACCCATGGCTTCAATTTAGCTTGTGCCTTTGGGGTATACAAATAGCAGATTCCTTGTCTAGACAGTTAGGAGTCTGTGCTTGCACCAGCACCAGGTCCCATCCAGTGAGTAATACTGGATTACAGCACCAGGTCCCATCCAGTGAGATGGTAGATATAAAGCATTCTGGGGAAGAGCACTAGCAAAGTGCAGGGAAGGACGTAATGTTTGCTGTCTTCATGGTGGCATCCATCCATCACCATGTCTAAAAGCAGCAGCAGAAGCAGTGATGGGATTTGACAGCATTTTAAATGATGTGACAATGCAGGGAGCTAGGCAAGATAAATCTCTGGAGGTTTGGTTGTACGGGCCCAAGAAAAATCAACACCCACTCTGGCTGAGTGTCCTCCAGAGGAGGGAGTGAAACCCTGTCTCTAGGAAGGGGGGAATGTGTTTAATTGCCCTTCTTTTATGTTCACTTCGATGTTGGTAGAGAAGCAAAGGCAGGTAGCTGTGATGTAACCCAGAGAGAGGACAGCTCATGGGATTCCACGAATGTTGCAATAAAGTACAATGGGCTGGTGTTTGGAGCGGGGAGATGAGAGCAGTTTCTGTGTATTGCACTACACCAGTATTGGGAGGTGGCGGGGGGAGGGTAAGAAGTGAGGTGGTGGGGGGGAGGGTAAGGAGTGAGGTGGTGGGGGGAGGGGAAGGAGGAGGGCTGGGTTGTTTTCTGTGCTTTGTTGTGTGGATATTGGAGCCCTGTTGATTTGCGTGTGTGAGGGGAGTGAGAGAGTTGGCAGTATAGATACACTTTAGCATCGATTCTCACACACACATTTAGGTTGAAACTTTTGAAAATGATTAATCAGATGCATTGGAAGTAGCTGATTAGGGTCCTCCCGAAATCAGAACTTTCTCTTGAAAATGTAGGCCCTCTCTTTCTCACTGATACTTGAGCAACATTACATGACTGTGTCTGCATGATATTTACGTGCAGTAGAAATTTAGCTGGGCTGGTATGCAAACGATACGTGGTTTATGTGAAAAATAGGGTTGCAGGAGATGCTGAATGTTAGGCAAATGAGCCTATTATGTCAGTGGGTTTCCAGGCCTATAATTAATAGACGCATATGCTGGTTGTTTGGTTTGGCTCCTCGCTCCCACAGTAAAATCAGTCTGAGCAAATAACTAGAGCTCTGCACGGATACAAACTTGTATCCGCATCCACGTTCGTGTCTGCAAAAACAAGCTGCAGATACTCACAGATGTAAAGCAGAGAGCCATGGATTGGCAGGGCTCTACAAACAACTTATTTACTGCCATGCTCAGTTTACTGATCTGAGGTTGTCTAGGGGAATTCTGACGAGGTGTATGTGCACGTGGCATCTGGACCAGTCTTGTGAAACTGATTACCAGGCAGATTTGTTATAGCATATGTCATCTGTACTGCAGTTGAGTTTGTGGCTCATGATTAGCCAAATTCCATTTAAAACATATAGCAAATCTAATAGTCATCTGATGTTATTTAAAGTGCGGTATTAGAATCCAATTCAAAACACGGATTCACAGGTGCTTTATACTGTATTAGGGATATTTCAGGGGTACAAAACAGGGTTGATGCAGTTGTCTGAAGAGAACTGTTTGGAGACTTACCTAATTTTTCCAGTCAGCTTTTGGTTCCATCTCTCTCTTGTTTTGCCATCAGAGTTAACGTATGTGAATATTCCATACAAATCTTATCTCTCATCTATATTTGTTTTTCTTTACAATGCCCATTTGTCGTGTCAATCGCCTGTCTATGTATTTATTGGTTCAAAGTCCAAAAATGAGCTAGCTTGACTTAATGGGATTTAGGATCCTAAATAACTTTTCTCAGGCTTTTATGCAAATTTGGCCCATGATCCTGCATGATTTCTACTTCGTGTGTAATAAACCCAATGGTTTTTGGATTTGCAGAACTCTCAGATCCCTGCTAAGCTCCCAGACCCAGTAAAAGCTAGTGAAGCAGCTGCGAAAAAGAGCCAGCCAAAGGCCAGGTAAGAGCCTCTATGATTAACACATTTCTCTTTTCATCGGTCTCTTTTCAGATTTTGAACTCTTTCTAGTTAAAAACCACTGGTATTCTCTTTTGGCTTTCACTGTAGAAAATAGATGGAGGCTTATACTGTGATCCTGGGACTTGTAATTTAAATGTAAAATGCCCATTAAAATAAAAGGCAGCAAATGGTAAGACGAAAGAGTTCCTTCCTTGTGCTGCATCCGAGTCAGTTGCTAGGTTTTGTAAACCAATAGCACCCTTTGAATAGAACAGCTCGAAGTCCATAAGTTAGGGTGGGCAAGATAGGATCCGACAAGCTGTGGCCACCCTGCCAATCCCTCACACCGGGGGTGCATGGCACCCGAGGGAACCGCCAGATATTCAAAATGGCTGGCAATTCCCTTTAGGTGCTGTGCAACCTGGCAGGGTGGGAGCGGGGGGCAAAGTTCATGTGTTTTCCCCACCCCCAGGCCATTCAGGGTCTGGAGATGGGGGAGCAGGTGAAGTCTCCTTCCTCTGACAGGTATGAGCCGCACCTAGAGGGAACAGACAGACCTCTTCTGTCTGAGGCTCCGCCTCTTCCTCTTGAGACTTCACCCCATTGGGGTAGCCCACGACCACTTCCAAAATTCAGGAAGTGGCCCCCCTTCAGAAATTATTGCCCCCCTCACCTCTGCCATAAGCTAAAGCTTTATTAGTCTGCACGGTAGCATGCCTACTAAGGGCCTTCTCCAGAGCTATTGACATGAGTAGAAAGACTCCCACTTACTTCAGTGGGCTTTGGGTCAGGCCCCCAGGGTACAAACATGCAGAGGAACCACAGCAGTGTTACAGGACCCAGGGTGATCTAGTCTGACCTGCAAAACACAGGCCTGAGAACCTCTCCCAGAGCATCTGCTGGAGCTAAAACATCTCTCTTGGCGCCACAGGAAGCCGAGATTGGCAGCAGTGATGGGCAGTCTGTGGCCCGGGAGACATTTTGTTACCCTTGCCCAAGTGCAGGCTGCCAGATTCCCCTGGTTTCTGTCCATGAAGGGTTTTTTCTACCAGTGTTACTCAAGTGACGCACCTAAAGCCGGGGTCCGGGAAATGAGGGGCGTGCGCATTGCACACAGCACTGCCTGTGAGAGCCGGGCACTCCCTCTGCAGCCAATCACAGCGCTGCTACGGTTCAATCAGCATCCCCACAAATTCGAGGTATGTAAGTTCAGTGGGCGAAATGACCCTCTCCCAGGGGACTGTCTTTGTTATAACAGTCTAGCGGCCACTGAGTGGAAGGCGGCCACTCACGAGGTCCACTCGCTACTCTAGGTTGCCCATCGCTGCTCTGGAGGCTGCCGTCAACAGAGCATATTGTTGTCATGGTGACTCAGGGCAGACTGTACAGTTTTCAGGGTACTAAGTACATCTTTGATGTTTACTGCCTAGTGACTAGTATATTCATGGAGCTTATGTAAATAACTGTCCTCTCCAGATCTAAAGAATGCTACTTGTGATGCCTTCTACCTAGTGCCAATTAGCCCCAGAAGTTTCCCTTAATATTATTTTTATACCTGAGCTTCAGTAATAAGAGTAACTTCTAATCTAGCTCAGCGAGCAAACATACTGAAGGGCATTAAGAGGTCTCGA